TTGAATACTATGCTTGTGTTGTTGTAAATCCTCTTAGATTTGGGGGTTTAGGCCTTAGACACAAATCTATTCGAGTTGATAGCTTTTTCATTCCTTATTTTTCATCTAAAGAGTCTCACTTTAATAATCATCTTTGCATAATCACCTCTGCACTCTCCTTCCTTTCTTTGCTTGCTTTGATTGAGAGTCGTATCCAACACTAGTTTGTTGTTCAAAGCTTGAGAAAGAGACTTATTACCATGCTTAATAGTTTAATCTCTTTGGAGGTTCATTACCAAGGCATTACATCTCTCTTATGCTAAACAAAACCTTTTCGTTGGACACATTTCTTTATCACTTGTTGCGTTTAGTGGACGTAGTTAACACTTTTGGGACAAAATGAATAAGGAATAGAAAGGTAATGTAAAAGAGGCTAAAATTTGAGTTAAAGATGTAAAAGAGGGTAATAAAAGTGAGTTGGGTTCAATCGGACATTATATTGAACTTATTGCATCTTGACTCATTGCGTACTCTTTAGTGACGTTCAATGGTTCAAGAAGCAATGTCCACCCCTTTCTTTGAGGTAACTCCATGATAGAGAGGGGGTTGTCTTGGTCCTTTACTTTCATTTCATTGATCTTTTGTCCTATCAGTTCATAGATCATCATGCAACAACTTTACGACAACTGATGGTTTGTAAATCAAGTCTACTCCTTTCTTGATCAGTTTCATAATAGGGAGAGGCAAAAAGGATAATCATCCCCTGGAAACACTCTGTTTTTGCTCTGTTTCATTCTGTGGCAGCAGGGCAGTACCCAAAAGCAGTGGCCGGCCGGCCGATCATCTCCCTGTACGGCTGACCACTTTCCAAGGCCGGCTAGCCACCTACTTTTGTACAGGCAGCGGCATTTTGGTGGCAGAACAGAGTAGAAGCTGAGGCAAAAAGAGAATTATTTTCTGACTGCAAACAGAACAGAATCTGGCAGAAAATAGAGAGGTTTTCGGGAGGATGTTCTTGGTTGTGCATATGTGGTTCTTTAACTCACGTTCATGTTCATTAGCTTATAGCTCTTAGATTAATTAGTGTGTTGTAATTAACTAGTTAAATTCCTTTGAATTTGTACTAGCTAGTTAATTTAGTTAATTAATTTTGTGTTGTAATAATTAGTTAATTAGGATATTCATTCGGACCCTCTTGTGCGAGGCCCAAATTGTAACACTTGTAATATTGTGTTGTCTTCCAATCCTGATTCTTTCTCTCTTTTATTTACTCACTTACAATGGTGGCATGTAATATCATATTTTGGTTTCATATCATATCCATGTATAAAACATCCATTTTTTGCATGCATAGGGTTCGGTTCATCATTCTAGCATTGTTGTCGTTTCCTACTTAATTGAATACGTGCGCTATCGCATGCTTTGAATTGATCTGTATGTCATATTATGACGCCGAATTCAATAGTTGCATTTTGTATGTGTTGCATTAGTCACTTGCATATTAGAGCACGCATTTTTCTAACTCTTTTCTTCTATTTGGCTTGCCTCAGTTGAGTACTAGGCGAGCATTTTTTTGCTTTAGCATATTACATCTATGTTTGTGTTGCCATCTCAAAGCATATTACCATGAGGCTAAGTGCTTAGTTGATATACCTCTTTGAGTGCCGGTGGATGAAGGTTATTTTGTCTAAAATTGGGATGATTTGATTAATGTATATATGGGCTCACTTTTTCAAGTGACACATATTCAAAACACTTTTCAATCAAACATGAAATCAAAGCATTCCAAAGTGGGCGGAATAGTCTATACTTGTGTGCCTCACATAGTGAATGTTAGTATAATAATCAGAACATGACCATATACTGTACATAAGAGTCACATCATGATTAGTAGAGGTTGATCTTTGATCGGGTGAATGGGGTGCTTAATTCATGACCTTCCCTCTCATATCTAAATTCTCGAGCCGAGACACTTTGGTTATGACAGACAAGTGGCCTTTGGCATGAGTCACGGGTTTTCTAAATTTTCCAAAAACATTTAGGTGACGACTCTGAAATCTGGAAATGCAATCCATTTTTAGCATTTCTGATTGTAAATTGATTTTCCAAAAATTTGCTAGATTTGGACTCGTTTGTTTAAATCTATTTCATATTACACTTGTGAAACCAGATTCAGAACCATGGAAGTCCAAACTATAGGGCTATCATATCCGATGAGACTAAACCCCTCCGAGAAGCACGAAAAGCAAGCTACAGTAGTGCTTGTATAACCTACTAGCAGATACGTATCTAGAGATTCCTAGTGTTTTGTATCCACTGTCCTGTTTTCTGATATAAAAGTGTATTTTTTTTATGAATTGAAATATATTGATAATGGCATTGCATTGTTTTGAGATGAAAAAAACATATTGTTTTGGCAAATGGCACGCATATGCATTCTCCTTATCATTTCGTTAAGCTTCACACATAGTGTTAAAGTATCTCTACTAGGTTTTAGCTCACCATATATGGAAAACAATTTTCAAGTGCTGATGATATGCCTCCACCAAGAACTTAGCTTGGGAGGACCGTGGAACTGAAGGCTCATTTTTGTTCCTCTTGTTGTAATTATATTTTGTACAAGTCTCGGGCTTTTTAATTATTTTGAACTTGATACATCTTGTTGTAACCAAGCAATGTCTTGGAAAGATGTAACCATTAGGGCATAAACTTATCTGTATTACCTTTTTTTTTAATTCACTCATATATGACATATGCTATAGATTCAGGATCTAGGATTTATTAATGTATACTCGCATATGTCATCTTTTGTACGGTAAAGAAATATAAATGAAAGGTTAATATTTTGAAGGTTTATGTTTTCTATTGGATATCATGAGATGGGTTGTCGTTATTATTTTGGGACGTTACATGTTCCGCCAATGTGAGTTGGCAAGGGATGGATGGTTGGGAGCATGGAGGCTCTATGAATGTTAACTGTAGAAGCTTGGGCTATTTTTGTGTTGGAAATATAACTCAATCTTTTGTGTAATCAAGGAAAATCCTTGAGAAAAATGTAAGCCCTTAGGGCATCTTGTTTTGTATTATTTCTTGTGTTTTGAACTATTTACTCTTTCGATAATGTATTAATACAATGATGTAAGCACACGAATAGTTCAGGGGGGAAGATATAACTTTTGAGACATGAATCATATGATTTAATGCTTTAATTCATCGTCATTTGTTATAATGTTCTTAGGTAAGTATTGTGAACTGATGATGAAATATCAAGGTGTTACAATAGATTTTATTTTCCCCTCCCAGTTCCTATGTATATATTATATATCTTTTAATTATTATTTTTTTTTTCAATATAAAAGATTAAACTACCAAAATATTACACTTAACATTTACTTTTACTCATTTCTTTCTTAGCTTACATATTTTAATTTTCATTAATTATAAACTACTATCCATAATTTACAATATTATTTATTTTTTAAGTTACAAAATTAGCCCACCCCACTCGCTCTCGTCTACCCGCGCCCCCAACATCAGCCTGATTTGTCCCACCCCCAATATAATACAAAATGGGGGTGGGGGGGGACTACAAACCTACCTCGTGGTCATCTCTAACAAGGTTGGATCTTTTGAGGCTAAAAGGACAAGTTTTTTACTTTTTTTTTTGTACTTACGAGTGAAAAGGACATTTGTAATAGTTTCACCTTTGCATTTGTTCTATTTTTAGTTTCTCTCTTATTTCTCAAACACTACCACTGATCATTGCTATCGCCAAAAAAGCCACCAGCGGTGATAGGCAAGTAAACATACAGGTAGGGATGATATTGTCTTTCAAATTGTTTTTGTCCTTATGGTCTCAAAAGAATAAAGACTATTGTCCCAAAAATTAACCAAAGGGATTTGGTTAAGTGGAAAGATCTTAGATGTTATACCCAAGTTTGACACTCCTAAAGCTAACAACAAGGTCGACGCAAGTGCAAGGTCATTACAATCATTGCCTTGCGCCCCAAGAGGTCCTTCTAATGTCATTATTTTCTAGAGAGCATTAAGGGTATGTTTGGTTTGATTTTGGGAAAGTAATTTTTAAAAATTGTTTTGAGGAGATAGTTTAGAATTTTTTTTTTATTTGTTTGGTTGTGTATTTTGAAATTAGTTTTAGAGTTTGGAAGTTTAGAATGATTTGATATTTTGTTATATTGAGTAGATGTGTGTAAGAGAAAAAGTGGTTGAGAATGACAGAGAAGAGATAAAAAGTGATTGATTGATAGGTAAGAAAGAGAAAGTGATTTTGGAAATTGTTTTAAAAAATTTACAAACCAAACAAATTTTTTAGAAATTTTTTTCCAAAATCACTCTACAAATTCAAACCAAACATGGCCTAATTGTTCTAAAAAAAGCAAAACATTAATTGCCTTTTTCAAACTTTTCAATAACTGAAGCAAAGATTATGGAAATCAAAACATCAAAATTCATTTTCATACTAAACCATTTTGACAGTAGATTTGAATTTTTTTTTAAAAAGTTTTTTTTATAATTATTTTTAACATTGATTTCCTTTTTTTGAAAGTTTACTAAAATATAAGAATTTTAAAGATATTGATGGTTTAGATTTATTTCCCAAATTAAATGTTTTAAAATAATTTATACAAATAGTAGAAAAAGAAAATAAATCAATTGACTTATTAAATTATACTAATAATACGTGCATTGATTACAAAATATTATTAACCATCACCGACGCAGAAAAATCCGCCTTCACCAATATTATTATTGGATGGCCTATAATCTGCGAAATTCTCAAGCTACTTCCTCCAAAGGAGGACCCAATTCTAAGATCTCATCTGCTAATATTACTGCTAATGGCCTCTATACAACATCTGTCACTACTGCTACTGCCAATCATGGCTACTATACTCATGACACATCATATCCAATCATTCCATTGATTATTAGCCATATTGAACAATTGCAATAAAAACCCTCTACTAAACCAGAAACTCTTATTTCTGCCTATTTTCCACCCAATTGGCGTTATCCTCCACATTCTGGACAACATTCTCCACTATGTTATGAAAAAATTCTTGAAGAAACCCATTCCATTTCAATTGACCACGTTTTCTTTAGAGATGATAAAACTCTCCTCCAATATTCCAAACTCCATATACTCAAAATTATTTCAAATATTCAAATTCTAAACAAAGAAATGCTCCCACTACAAATACTACTCAAGAATTAAAATATGACACCTACGATTTTAAAGATGTCCTTGATCGTGTCAACAATCCAAGATCTCCAAAATGAAATCCGTAACCTCAAAACTGATGTTCAAAATTTACAATCCAGAGTCCTTGCTCCTGAAGAAAATTCAGCTGATGTTGATGATTTCCTTACAGATACATCCTTTCCATATGAACCACATCTCCAGGAATCATTTAACAAAAATCCTGAAAAACAACCACTTGTCATCAATGACTCTGTCAATTTACTCCTTAATAATATAACATTTCAAAAATGGTGTATTGAAATTAAAGTAGTAATCCATGATTTCATTTTAACAACAATGACACTTGTTAATTCTGGTGCTGATCTCAATTGCATTATAGAAGGCCTCTTACCTTTTAAATATTTTGAAAAAACTTATCAAACTTTGAGTACCGCTAATGGTGGATCTATGGAAATAAATTATAAAATATCTCATGCCCAAATTTGCAATCAAGATATTTGTCTAAACACTGAATTTCTATTAGTCAAAAATGTGTCTCAATTAATCATTCTAGGAACCCCTTTCCTCACCATGATCGCTCCTTTTACTATTACTAATGAAGGTATTTCTACTATTCTTATAAATCAAGATATAGTTTTCAAATTCTTATTTCCTCAAAAAGAACATGAAATCAATACTTTAAAAACAAATCTTATTTATAAATAAAAACAAATTTTTTTACTCCAAAAAGAAATTTCTTACAAAGTTGTCGATCAAGAATTACAACAACCTCGTGTTAAATCTATTATTCATAAAATCCAAACTTTATTCAACAAGGATTTATGTTCTAAATTACCCTATGCCTTTTGGCATTGCAAGCAACATATAGTTGATTTACCATATGAAAGAAAATTTAATGAAAGACATATTCCCACCAAAGCTTGACCTATCCAAATGGATAAACAACTTATGGAACATTGTAAAAAGATCAATGACCTTTTAAACAAAAAATTGATCCGCCCCATCAAATCTCCATGGTCGTGTCCTGCCTTTTATGTCAACAAAAATGTAGAACTAGAATGTGGCACATCTTGCCTTGTTATCAATTACAAACCACTCAATAAGGTTTTACAATGGATCATGTACCCTATCCCCAACAAAAAAGACTTTTTAAATCACCTCTACAAAGCCAAAATCTTTTCAAAATTTGACATGAAATCTGGATTCTAGCAAGTCCAAATCACTGAAAAAGATCGCTACAAAACTGCCTTCACAGTGCCCTTTGGACACTTTGAGTGGAATGTTATGCCCTTCGGCCTTAAGAATGCTCTTTCCAAATTTCAAAATATAATGAATGATATTTTAATCCATATATCGCATTCACAATTGTCTATATTTTTAATCCGTATATCGCATTCACAATTAAAACAAAGCCATTAAAACCTTGAAGTGCAATTTCCAGAACAACAATAAAAAGTGATTTTGCATAAAGAATGCGACTCTTTATTTTTATTTATTTATTTATTTTTTAGCAGCAACAAAAAGACACTTTATTGAATAAAAAAGCGATAACAAATGTCCTCATACAAAAAAAAAAAAAATACTTACTAATAAAGTGAGTAAGCAGACATTAGCAGACATTCCTAAGACTAGAACTGACAAATGGCTCCCTAGTCTTTGGATAGCAAAAATTGGGGGATCCTTTTAAATGGGGGAGACACATAAGCCCAAAACGAGGCCAAGTGACACGCCTCCTCCCACAATGAATCCTCATCTGCACCCTTGTCGTTGAAAATTCGTGCATTATGGTCCGAAAAATGGCAAATACACTGCAAGACCACAATGATTTGGCTTTCCTATTGCCACCAAAACTGCCAAAATTAATTAAAAGCATGTAGGTGTAGACCCTCGGAGCTATCAATTGTAAATCACAAAGCCCAAAAAGGCGCTGCCATAAAGAAATAGCCAATGGACAGTGAAAAAATAAGTGGTTTGCCAATTCCGCATTCCTCTTACACATTATGCACCATTGTGAAAAATGGAGCGATTAGGTTTTCTCCTTTGGAAGAGATCATTGATCATAATGCTTCCCTAGGCCAAGAACTACATGAAAAACTTCACTTTATGAGGTACAACAGCCTTCCAAATTTTCTTAAGAAATGGAAACAAAGGAACGAAGGGCACGTCAATGATTTTATCAACAACAAAAAAAAAAAAATTGCATGAGAAGACCCCAGAAGAATTGATATTCCAAACCCTCTTATCACAAGTGGAAGGGGACAAAGAAACCCCCTCATGCAATAACAACAAAGATACCAACTCAAGAGATTCCCTATCACTTAGATTTCTAAAAAAGTTGAAGTTCCATAAGATTGGTGCCAAATTAGAGCATGCCACCAACGCAATTGAAACCTTCCGAGATTGGACCACTCTATAAAGAAGTGGAAAAACTCTATCAAAAGAAGAATTCCCCACCCAAACATCCTCCCAAAAACGAACACTTTCCCTGTTCCCACTTTCAAAGAAAGAAATCTAGACATAAGCGTAAACATGCGAGAGATGGATTTCCAAGATGAGCGACAATTGACTCTACTAACCACAATAGAATCTCTACCATTGGCATGAACACCATACTTACTTAATGATGGAATGCCATAATGACTCACTTTGGATGGGAAATCTCCATAACCATTTACTCAAGAGAGCAATGTTCCTTGCCACGATGTTCCCAATAGCAGGGCCCACTTTATTTCTAGGAAGCGAAACAACCTCCCACTTAACTACGTGATCCCTCTTCCCCTCATCATATCCTTCCCAAGGAAAACCCCTTATTAGCTTTTCAATTTGTTTAGCAATCCTAAACCGTAATTTTGAACAAAGACAAAAAGTACAAAGGAATGCAACTTATCATGGACTGCACCAAAGTGTATCTCCCCCCTCCCGAGCTTGCCCCCTACCCCCCTAGATAACAAGGCTCTTTTCCATCCCTGCAACCTCTTACCAATATGACATAAGCATTTAGGTGTTGGTTGTGTGCATATATGAAAAACCAAGATGAAAAAAATAGGAAACTAAACAAATTTGCCAATGCCACAACATTACAAGCCATGATACTGTGAAAATGTGATAACATACCTAGGTCTCCATCAATTGCACATTTCAAGAACTAGAGATTCAGAGCAGGAGAAGAACCATATTTTGCTACAGAGTACAAAATGCAGTTTGTTGTCTTCCAATTTACATGGAGTTGAGGGGAAGTAGCACAAGATGAAGAAAAGATAAATAGAAAACACCACACCATAAATGCAGTCAAAGGCCTCTTCTAGCTCAGGTTGTGAATGAAAGGCATGCAAGAAATTTAAGATTGTATTTGAATTTATAAATTGAAATTAATGGGTTTATCATCACTCATTCATGGGGTATAGCTTTCATATTGATTTAATATTTCAGATCTAGATTACGGGAATGGATTTAAAGCTATATATTGATGGATTTGAAATAAAATTGTGAAAATAATTATTTGAAATCCCTTCCTGAAACTGAAAAATTCTACTGATACAACAATGTTAGAAAAATACATCTTTCGTTGCTCTATTCAATTCTCCACCGTAGAATTATCGCTCGACCTCTAGTAGTGTATATTCCTACAATTTTGTAAAATTTAACCTCAAATTCCTTCATTACAAATCCAGTCCTCCAAATCGAGCATAGCTTGTAGAGTTGGTGAGTGACAATTTAGAGGGGTTGCTCATGTTTCCCACACAAGGGCTACATAAGTGACTAACTGAACCTGCAAAGAAATTTAAGCTAGATAGTGTCCAAGCTTTGATAGAGATCTAAATGAGGAAGGTTACCACTCTCATGCAAAGGAGGAAAAAGAAAAATTGTAGACTGTTTGGCTAATAATTAAAATATTCTGCATCTCAATTTGAAGGTGATAAAGTACAAGAGTGTAGTTATCAGTTTATGGATGGGTACTCACAGTTTTTCCTGCCATGCATTCATTGTCTTGCAAGATAGTTCACCCTTTCACTACTTGAAAATTTTCAAGTAACTTGACAAACACTTTTGCTGGCAAATCATGAATGTTTTCTGGTCAAGACTCACAAGCTAATCAAAACCTTTAGGCTATATCCAAGAATCACAACTCATGTTTTCTGACTTTTAAAGATTAATTCTGAAACGGTTCGACAGAGAAGCATTACTGTCTACTGGTAATTTTAATCTGAGCATGCCCCTTTTTTCTTTAATCTCAAAATTCACATTGAATATCTTCATGGTGATTTTCGAAGTGAATAAAAATTGAAATATGACTAGTTCAAAATTTTTACTGAAGCTGTGACCATGAACGTGCTCTCAATAATTTAAGAAATTGCAGTTATACTCATAAAATAATTGTGGGGATATATTTTCTGAGTACCAACACGTGGCCAAGGCGACGTCGATGTGTCAGCCGAGGTGCCACGTGTCCTGGTTGTTATGCCGAGGTCATCTCGGATAGGCCGAGGTTACCTCCGAAGATATCGGAATCCGAGATAAGCGGATGAGGGGCAAGAGTCCTAGAATGAGAGAAGACTTCAGTTTGTATTAAGATAAGACTCTTAGAGAGTTTATCCTACTCTTACTGGGAGTCCAAGATTAGCAGTAATCCTGAGTCCATAGAAGTTAGGCTTCTATTGGGACTAGGTTTATGTTGGCTATAAAAGAGAGGCACCCCCATGGGTCTAAGGTATGCTTTTAATACTCAAGCTTGTGAGTTTAGCACTTGATTTATCTTTGAGAGATATACTGACTTGATCGTCAGAGTGCCCCCGGGTAGACGAACCACCGCCGGAATCTTCTCTTTCTGTTGCAAGTCAGCCAGGTGCCATTTATTCTGTCGGTGCTCTCCAACTGGTTACTAAGCGGGCAGTGTGGTCAGAAAATCACTCACACAATTTGGCGCCGTCTGTGGGAACGAAAGAAGAATAGATGGCCAACGACAGACCAAAAGAGAGGGTTGGGGACGACACCCCTACTGAGAGTGGGAAACATATTGACCTTGGCGTCAAAGAAGACAACTACAACGAAGAAACTCGTGATAAGAATCACGGAGAAGAGGACGTCTGCCAGAAGGGCGACGTGCCAAAGAAATCAGACCGAAGCAAGTATTATAACAAGGACGACCTCCAGCCACCGTTCCCGTCACAAGATACGCCCATTCCAGCAGCCAAGAAAGATGCCCAGGCAGGGGGGCAGAAGACAACTCCTACGACTCCTCAGCACGATAGGACCAAGGAACATTCTCACCGGCCTTCAAGGGAGGTCGGACAAGGAGAATCAAGAAGGGGAGATTCACAGAGGACACATCGCACCAAGGAAGTTGACTCCAAAGAACATCGGCATGTTCAGGGGAAGGACCTCTGTTTCGACGCGACCAATGGAGGGAGGTCCAAAAGGACTCGCAATGACACAGGAAGTAGTGTACCAAAGAGGCTGAAATCCGGAGATAGCCGAGCTCCTGGATGAACCAAGGAGGATTTGAGGGATTACCTCCAGAGAAAGCGACAAAATGCCAAAGTGACCTCACCTGTCAAGCCGAGATAACACTGGATATGAGAAGATAAGAGCTCAGCCTAAGTAAGCCGATCCCAGATCCCAGAAGACAAGATCTCGGCCTAAGATGATTAAGTCCGAGAAGAGAAGAGTTTACCGAGATGATGTTTAACACTTGTTGAAACTTGAGAAAAGTTTACAAGTTAAAGTTGAACCGAAATCATTGTTTAACACTTGTTGAAATTTGTGGACAATTTACAAGTTGAAGTTAAACCGAAATCATTGTTTAACACTTGTTGAAATTTGTGGACAATTTACAAGTTGAAGTTAAATCGAGAGCATTGTTTAACACTTGTTGAAATTTGTGGACAATTTACAAGTTGAAGTTAAACCGAAACCATTGTTTAACACTTGTTGAAATTCTGTGTGAATTTACAAGTTAAAGTTAAACCGAGGTCATATTTAACACTTGTTGAAATTCTGTGTGAATTTACAAGTTGAAGTTAAACCGAGATGATGTTTAACACTTGTTGAAATTCTGTGTGAATTTACAAGTTGAAGTTAAACCGAGGTCATATTTAACACTTGTTGAAATTCTGTGTGAATTTACAAGTTGAAGTTAAACCGATGTGATATTTAACACTTGTTGAAATTCTGTGTGAATTTACAAGTTATAGTTAAACCGAGGTCGTATCGAAAGGAAGATGGTTTAACACTTGTTGAAATTTTGAGAAAAATTTACAAGCTGAAGTTAAGCCAAGGTTTTGATAAAGGATGATGGTTAAAACACTTGTTGAAATTTTTGAGAAAAATTTACAAGTTAAAGTCAAGCTCAAGCAATATCTGCGTACTTGCCGAGACTACCAGGTTGTCAAAACTTGAAATAAGGAAAACTGAAGTCTTGATAGAAGACATTGAGAAAGTGACAAGTCCTAAGCAACACTTGTGAAAATATTTGTTACAATATTTTCAAGTGTTAGGACAAGGCCGAGATGAGCAAGATTAGAAGCTGTGACAAAGGTATTTTACCCGACGAGATTGCACAGTCAAGGTGTACTTTTGAAGACATGCAAATTATTCTAAGTGTAGAATCATACAAGAAGCAGAAAAAAGAAGACATTCATTCAAAGAAGAAATTAAAGAAATGCATTTAAAGAAGAAAGAAGGCACTTCGGCCTGAATATTGAAAAATAAATCATTCAGACTATAAAAATGGCACGTCGGCCGGATTAAAAGCATACAAAGAAGGACAAAGTACAAGGTACAAGGAGTAAAAAAAGGAAACAAAACTACTCGGCATCAATGGCAGGATATAGAAGACAGTTGGAAAGACTTTTTAGCAGCCTTCTCGGCCTCGAGTTCAGCATCGATCTCCCGAAGAGTTTGATCAAAGCTCTTATCGGCGATTGGCACCTCGGAGTTTGAAGGCTAGGATTGAAAGCAAGAATCTGGAAAAAGACACAGAAAACAGAAACAAGAATGTAATTCGTAATCAAGAATGGTGATGAAACTATCAGGAAATCAAGACAAAAAGATTACACAGGTGTGTCAAGCCAAGAACAATGGCAGAAATCAACAGATATGTGAACAGTGTGTATTCAAGAAGATGATTTGGAAACAACGGGTAAAATAGCAATGGTGATTAACAATGAAGCAGAGCTTCTTGGAAAGCAACAAGAAATAAAACCAGGAGGAACAGTGGCTTACCAGAAAGAGGGAAGTCGGAATGAGAATTGCCGAAGTCTGACGACGGATGCGAAAATGACAGAATGACGTAAGCTTTACCGGAGGAGAGGAACGAAAACAGTTGCAGAGCTTGAAAGCTTGAAACAATGACGAATTTAAGCAAAAGAGCTAGAAAGAGAAAAAGCCAGAGGATTGAATGAAAAAGAGAAAAATCAGAGTCAAGAAGACGACAAAGTTCAAGAATAAAGTCAAGTGCACAGGCACTAAGTAAGTATGTGAAGAACAAAAAAGTAATGGCCCAGACACAATGCTAGCAACAGAAAGCGGATATGGCAAGAACAATGCCAGGAGTTCAAACAATTCAAAACTTGAAAATACACAAAAATAGTAGACAACAGAGGGCAAGTAAACAGATTCAGAAGAGTTACGAAAGATTGAGCTTAAATAAAAGAGTTTATGAACCTACCAAGAGAAATGAACGCCGATATGAAGATCGTTGGAGTCAAATAGATGACTGGAAGTCAGGAACCCACCGAAGAATGTGAGTGGAGCAGTTGCAAAGCTCTTGGAGTTTACGAATTAATGAACAAGAACCTCGGCTAGGAGGAGTGATCTCGAGCAGCTTGGAAAGCATGAAGCTTGATACTTGACAGAAGTGGATAGTAAAGTCCAGGAAACTTTGAGGTTGGCGAGTTTGATCTTGGACAGAGGGGCACAGATGAACGAACAGTGTAAGTTCCATCACCTCAGAATGTCGAGGTAATAGAACCTAGGGGGGCAGTTGTGGGGATATATTTTCTGAGTACCAACACGTGGCCAAGGCGACGCCGACGTGTCAGCCGAGGTGCCACGTGTCCTGGTTGTTATGCCGAGGTCATCTCGGATAGGCTGAGGTTACCTCCGAAGATATCAGAATCCGAGATAAGCGGATGAGGGGCAAGAGTCCTAGAATGAGAGAATACTTCAGTTTGTATTAAGATAAGACTGTTAGAGAGTTTATCCTAATCTTACTAGGAGTCCAAGATTAGCAGTAATCCTGAGTCCATAGAAGTTAGGCTTCTATTGGGACTAGGTTTATGTTGGCTATAAAAGAGAGGCACCCCCATGGGTCTAAGGTATGCTTTTGATACTCAAGCTTGTGAGTTTAGCACTTGATTTATCTTTGAGAGATATACTGACTTGATCGTCGGAGTGCCCCCGGGTGGACGAACCACCGCCGGAATCTTCTCTTTCTGTTGCAGGTCAGCCAGGTGCCATCTATTCTGCCGGTGCTCTCCAGCTGGTTACTAAGCGAGCAGTGTGGTCAGAAAATCACTTACACAATAATGATTGTGTGAATGTGTAGAAAATAGCCAAAGTTTAAAGGATTTGGTCAAAGATGGTTTTGATGCTACACCATTTATATACAAGTGAAGCAAAGCATATGCCTAAATAATTTTTAGTTCACTCAAGAATTATAGTTGTAGAACAAAGACCAAAGAAGTCCCATATCTAAAACATTTAATGATCGATGGATTAAAATGGGAGCAAGGATATGTATGCAAATTTACTTACAGTTTCTAGAGTAGCAATTTGTGAATAATGATAAACAACAAAATAAAATATGAATTTAGAACGCAGTTGGAGTTAATGATGCTTACATTAAGCTACAGAAGAGCGGAAACAAGAGAACGAACTTCATAAAGAACCTTGAAACTGGACTGCCATTAATGTATGCCCTTTGAGCAGAATAAATAATGCTGAGAACATAAAAAAAATAAATGAGTTAGTGATAACCATGAAACGGAGAGTATGCAGTCCGTAGCAACAAAATAGACAAGACTTTAAAACTTAACAAAAACTAATAACCTGTCGTTATTACATGTTTGATTGGTTCTCTCTCTCTCTCTCTCTCTCTCTCTCTCTCTCTCAAACATATAAAATTGAAAATTAAGCAGCTTGTTTGCAATGAAATATATATATATATATATATATATCTTGGGGATACGACGCCGGGTAGAAACGAAAAAAAAAAAAAAAGAAAAAAAAAAGAAAAGAAAAAGAAGAAGAAAAAAGAAAAACAAGGTTTGACCTTTATAACAAACTAAACCTTGAGTTTTCAATTTTGTCAAGTAAACTTTAAACTTTTGATTTGTTTTCAATCTAAACTATTAGCCTAATTCCATTAAGTAAAATCGAGGGGGGAAAATGGTATTTTAGTTATTGAGCTCAATAAAAATAAGTATTTTAGACATTTTATATATTCTTGCATTGAGTTTAATAATTAAAATACTCTTTTTCTGTTGGTTTTACTTAATAAAAATAGACGAATGGTTTTATACTTGGATTAAAGTATACAACATCACTGCTGATGGTGCTAAAGAACGTGAGCTTATCATGTATCTTCTTTCCTTAAGAAAAATAAATAAATAAATAAAAAATAAGGACAATGAGAATGGAGTTTCACCCATGTAGGGGAAATATATTTCCATATACATAACAGAGGGCTAATGAAATAAGAAAAAAGAAAAGAAAAGACAAAAATTTGAAAGAAAGATTCTGCAGGGTTCATTGGAAACAACATCATAATTTTAAGATAATCTTTGTGATGATGTTTTAACATTGATAGGTTGCAAATGGAATTTTCTTTTTGTAATTTTCCATGTTTACAAGAAAGTGTGGGGGAACCTCTGCTTTACAAGGATGTGAGACTGGTGGTGGTATTGATTAAATAAATAAAAGATATATATAATTTGACATGTTTTGTGATATGACATACCTGAAAGTTGCTGACTTCAATTGCCATGGGAATTTCATCACAGTTTATTCAATTTCAATATATATCCTCCAAGTCAAAACGGCTTCTGCGATACATGACACTGACTGTGGGAATGTGAGCAATGAGGGGCCAATATTGGCCTTCACCCTTTTTACACTGCTGTTGGAGTATCGGACATCCATTGATCTGCAGTTTCATAAGTGAGGGAGGTAGCCCTTCCTCTGGAAGGGATGCGAGCTTACAGCAATTCTGGACAGAAAGGATTTCCAGAGAGGCGAGGCTTTGAAACTCCTTGGAAGATAGTTTTTCCAGATTTGGGAAATTTGAGATGATCAGCTGGACCAGAGAGGTGGGCAGCAACATTCCATCTTCTGGAAAGGACACCATATCTTTGTCTCCAATTGGGCCTCCAATGTGGAGTCCTTTGAGAGAGGAGAATCTGTGCAAACCCCACTCTGATGGGGGCTTACTGATCTTGATACTGGTAATGGTAAGTGAAGTAAGGTTGGTAAGAGAACTCTCTTCGTTGACAATGCTGGAGAAGATTTCTCCGGCTGCAGGGGTATCTCCTAGGTACAGCCGTTCAAGAGAACTGTAGTTGTTGTACAAACGGTGTGGCAGGGCCTCTAGTTTTTCACATTGACTGATTCTCAATGCTCTCAGATTGGTTGTGGCAAACCATACTTCAGGGATGCACTCTAGAATAGAACACCTTGTTAGCTCCAATTCACGTAGATTCTTGAGATTATTATCATGCAAGGCATCCGGTAAGGCTTTGAGGTTCCAACAATTACACAATTCTATAGATTCAAGAGATGGACAATTAATTTTCATTCCCTCTGCTAGTATTGACTCCAGCTTTCCGCAATTATAAATAACAAGTGTTTTGAGTGTGGAAGGTAGTCCACCTTTGAACGATAAGCATGTGAGTGTTTTACAATCGAAAACCCGCAATACTTCCAGGCTGCTATTATTATTATTGTGCATCCTCCCAAATAAGGACTGTAAAGCATCACAATTCCTAACCTCGAGTATTCTCAACATGGGCGGCAAACCCGTCTCCAGAAAAGAGATGAGACCTGTGCAATTTTGGATTTTCAGCTCTCCAAGAGATGTGAGAGTGTACAGCCCCTGTGGTAGCTTCTCCAGTGTTTCACACTTATATATTTCCAGATACTCAAGCCCCATTATGCAAGGCAGCCCCTGGTGCACCTGTTCTTGCCCCTCTTCTTCTTCTTCTTCTTCTTCTTCTTCAAAAAAGGAAACAAGTTGAGGGCAATTCCAAATCACAAGACGTCGGAGGGCAGGGAGACAGTTCTGTAGTCTCCCCTCATTCTGCCACAAAGTCACGAGTTCTCCACATTCATCAATCTCCAATCTTTCGAGTCCCGTCAACCCTTGGGTAAACCATTTGGGCAGGAACATCATATTTCGAATCTGTCTAAATTGCAATGAAGTTATAGAACTCAGATGCTTAGATATTATATTTGCCAGAACGACTTCATCAGTTGTATTTGGATCCCAAATGGATTCAGGAATTGAAACATAACCAATTTGCAAGTGGGTGAGTGAGCTGAGTTCAAGCATGTTTCTTTTCTCAAGGAGGGCTGGAAGACTTGGAAGCTGAACACCCCAAATGGACAAGGAGGTGAGTGACTGGAGTACTAGCGTGCTGCTCATCTCTACCTTTGCACATTCAATACATAATTCGCAGAGCATTGGAAGGCTTGGTAGTTCAAGAATGAACTGCGGGCATCTCTTAATCTCAAGTTTTTTTAAACAATGAAGATGGTTGGGCAACCTCCCCAAGAGTTTAGGACAACTTTTTATTTCAAGCTGACGGAGGTTAGTGAGTTCTTCAAATTCTGCACCATCTCCCAAGGGGAACCAATGCTCCCATTCTGGCATGCCCCAAAAAATTAGAGTCTCCAGCAATGGAAAAGGCTTTGAGCATCCCTGTCCATAGAACTCACTACCAACATGTTTTATTGCACTCATTCTGTTAATACAAAGGTATTTCAGGGCCGGTAGTTGTCCAAGACTTGGTAAGGATGTGCAATTTTTACAATTTTCTAACGTTATGTGCTCCATGTTGGAGAACTGGGGATCTCTTATCCAAGGGGGGAATGTCAAACCAAGATAGCTTATGAGCTGGAGCTGTTTCAAGTTCTTGTGAGGTTGTAGCATGTCAAGAACTTTTTTAGCTGTTTCATTCAGTGAATCATCCAAGCTATCACTCCATTTCATTGATAATACATGTAACTCACACTTTTCATTTAAGTTGGCCCCCCTTGCATCCAGAGGATCCACCACATTCTCTAACCCTGATATCTGAAGCTTCCCTCGAAGATGAATCAAGTTCCCCAACTCTTTTATCCTACACCCGTTGTCTTTGCTAACAATAAATTTTGATAATGTTTGGAGACTTGCCAACTTGCATATTCCCAATGGCATTTCTTCCAAGGACTCTGTACCAGTAATATCAAGATGATGTAGGTTAATCAGGTTTCCCATGTCTTTAGGCAACTTCTTCAAATATCGACATTCTCTTAGGATCAACGTTTGTAAATTGTAAAGAATCCCCAGTGATTCAGGCAAAGTTCTAATTTCGGTGTAGGAAAGGTTAAGATACCTCAGGTGTTTCAAATCTCGAATCAAACTTGGTAGTTCTTCTATCTTGTATCCACTCAAACTAAGCACCCGTAAGCGTCTTAACTTTGCCAACAAATCACGAAGAGCACTATCTGTCAAGTTGGAACCAGTAATATAGTGCGATAAGTTAAATGGTAGGAAGGTGCGTAATTGCTTAGCTTCACAGAAGGTCCCAAATTTTTTGATGCCGTCATGAGGACCACGTACGAAAGATGAATGGCGTGCCTTCTTGAGATTTTTGTACTGCTCATGATCTTTCAATTTATCCTCCAATCTACAACAAATTTCTCTTGCAACAAATTGAGCCAAATCATTGGTGAGGTCATGCATCACAAACCGCGAGTTGTTACCACTACTTGACGGTTGGAAAAAAGACCTCGCCAACAATTCATGAAAGTAGTTACTTCCCACAACTTCCATTTGCTTCTTTCGTTCTGGTTGCTCAATGAAGCCTTCCGCCATCCACAACAAGACTAGCTCTTCCTCTTCAAACTCATAGCCTTTGGGCAGTATTGAGCAATATGCAAAGCATCGCTTCAAATGCGAAGGGAGACAATGGTAGCTTAACCTCAAAGCTGGGAGGATTTCACTTTCCTCATCTGATAAATCACATATTTTACTATTCAATACATCATCCCATTCATCATCTCTTTTGCATTGTAAAAGGCAACCTAGAGCAGTGGCGGCCAAAGGCGAGCCTCTACATTTCTCCACAATTGCCCTACGAATTGACACCAAATTTGGGTTCCCATTAATACTTCTATTCTTGAATGCATACTGCGCAAACACTGACCAACAATCATCATCTGACAGCTCCTTTAGGAGATGATAGTTGACAGTTCCCATCGTTGATGCAACATATCTGTTACGCGTTGTTACCATGAGTTTACTTCCTTGGGCTCCGTCATTGAAAGGGCTCTTTAAACGATGCCAATCACTGGGTTTCCTACTCCAGACATCATCTAAAACAATTAAAAACTTCTTTCCAGTCAAAGCCTGCTTTAGTTGAACTTGGACTTGATCCAAGTCGTTAAAACCACAAGTCTCAGAGGTGACAGCCTCGAGAATTGTTTTTGTCATTCTCATAACATCAAACTTGTCAGAGACATAGACCCATGCTTTCAGAACAAAATTGCTCTTCACTTTCACATCATTGTATACCATCCGAGCAAGGGTGGTCTTCCCAACACCACCCATGCCCACAATAGGAATGACGCCAATTTTGTTATCATCACCGGATTCATCTCGTAGGAGAAACTCAATTATCTTTTCTTTATCCTCATCCCTACCATAAAAGCAAAGTTCATGTATTAAGGATGTAGTGTCCGGCCTTTGCCAAGTTTTCACAGAGTTCTCTCTGCTAACCTTTTCTAAATCAAGTTCGCCTTTTTGTTTAGTAATATATTGGAATCTGGAGCTTATCTCGTTTATCTTGGACCTCATCTGAGAATTAACCATAACAGCACGAGGACTAAAACCAGTACAGCAACTGGGAAGCAAAGCTCTTACCTTGCTGGTGCTGGCTTGAGTCTGTGTGTCCGTGGTCAACTTGTGTCGTAGAGCTTCGGTTTCAAACTCATCCAGTATGTCATCCAAATCATAAGCCAGATCCTGGAGATCGTCCAGCCACAATTTCACAGCTTTATCCTTCAGTTGCTTCTCCTCTGCGTCACTGAGCACAGCTTGAATTTTCAACAGCATTCCAGTCCAGTTGTTAATCTGAGAATGAATCCCCTCTCGGCGTACAAAGTTCAACAACTCACCAGAGGCTAACTTGTTGAACAGCGTCGAAATGAACGCAGAGAGAAAGATCTGAGCCACAGGCATCGTTCCCTTTCTGGAGAGAAAATACCTTATGCAAAAGCAAACAGCAAGAAGTGGTGATGCCAAAACAAAGCAAGCACTGAAATTAAGCACCACTGATTGGTTTTCTGTTCCATGAAAAACCTTGAACAATGTGAAAATATTTGCTGTGTACAGTTGGATTTCAATGATTGGCATTGAGTTGCGATTTTTCATTTGTCAAGAATATATGAGATTATTTAATAATATTTGAAAATGTCAAAGTTGGGTAGGTTTGTACTGGCATTTTTTCTTTTGGTAATTTTTTTCCTCTTCAGTGATTTTTTTTTTAATTTTAAAATTTTAAGTTTTACTCGACTAAATAGTTGGAAAAGTGAAAGAAAAAAAAAAAGGGAACTTGCTCTTTAGTAGAACAGATAAAAAAATTACACAAATATAGAATTGCACCCTCACAACTTTTGATTTGTACCACACCTTCTAAGGAGTTGCAACCCCATCTTTGACTAAATTTTTTTGTGCCCTGTATCCTGAATTGAAGAATTCTAATACATTTTATGTATCGTCCATGCATTTCCATTCGAGTGTTGTTGGGCGGCGGCCCAACAGTCATATTTGATATGAAAAAATTCCTACGATACAAGATTGAAATTGAAGGTATTCGTCTTGGACGGCATAGATCACCTGATCGAGCTATGATAATTGTCAAACACATCATTTTATATACTTGCATCGGTGCTGCAAGCTCACCCCCTTTTACACTAAATTAATTTTATAAAATGACCTAATGCAGTTTTTATATTTCAAGTGGCTTTCTTCGATCTTAAGAAAATGAAAAGAGACAAGTGGGCTTGATAATTTTATTGCAAAGGAAAACAAGATCGTTTTCATTTAAGAAAAAAGAAATCTGAGAATCAGCGTTTACTGGGGAAGTGAACATAAGCAAACGAATGACTAGCTGCCAATAACTATGTGATTCAAACAAATGATAATAATAATAATAATAATAATAATAATAAAGGTTAATAATAAAGGTTAATTATTCATCTACGTCGACTCAAATTTTATTTTTATTTTTATTGTTTTAATTTGAATATTTTGATTTATACACTATAAGTTTAGTCTCACTTTGGGCTTTGTTTGGTTCCATTGTAGAATCATGATTCCATCCTCATATTCTAACTCTTTATTTGATTATAGTTTTCAAAATATTATTCCAAATCACATTTAAAAACATGTTTGCTAACTAGAGAGTTTTTAAATTTTTGGATTTACCTGATCGTCTGCCCGGTTGACCAGAACAGTGCTTTATTTTATTTTTGCAATTGTCACCTGTTATTTGAAAAAAAAAGTTATATTTCTTTTTGATATTTTTTAAATATAGAAATGGTTTTTTAGACCAAAATGACAAATTATTTGGCCATTTATTTAAAATTAACCAAAAAAAAATTTAAATAAAAATTAATTTGCCACAATAACTTTTAAAAAATAAAAAAAAAATTTAAAACAAAACAATTAAAAAAATTCCAATTAAATATACCATCAAAAGTAATTTTAAAGCACTAGTTGAATATTTTTTTAACAAAAAATAATATATATTTTTACATATTTAAAAAAAATGGATTTTTTTTAATTTTTTAAATAAAAAATTATTTTTTTCAATAATTATTTTTTTGAATTGAATTATGAAAAAAAAAATTGATTATGAGCTTTAAATAGAATTTTCAATAGAGTTTTGAGTTATATGTTTGGTTATGAGTTATAAGTTTTTGAATTTAGTTTTGAAAACTTTTTTCAAAACTCATAACTAAACAATTTTTCATATTTCAAAACTCATTTCAAAAATTCAAAATTCTTTTCAATACTCATAACCAAACAAATTTTCTTTTTTCAAATTATGATTCAACAACTCACAAACTTAAAATACAATTTCATTATCAAATCATGATTATAAAACTAAACCAAATGCTACCTTGGTCTTTCCATTCAAACTATTGTCAATTATTTCTAGGTAGACACTTCAGGAGACTCGCACTTTTTTTATAAAACTAGTAGTTGGGCATGTGTGTTGCACGTGGTACGTGATTTTTAATTAACTATTAATACTATAATTATGTGTGTCTCTTAAATTGGTACGTGATATGTATACAAAGTATGAAGACTTGTATGGGTAAATTAATCTGTATCTAAAATACAAATAAGTAAGAAAAAAATACATACTCTGTTAAAAAATTTATATAGCGTTTCTGGTTTAAACCCTACCCGTTAGACTTTTGGATTCGGATTTCTTTTCTTTATATAGTTGTTCTTGCCTTGTTTACCACTATTTCTCCCTGAGATGGGGTATTAGGTTGTATTAGTTGCGTTTGGAACAGGTTGGTACCTTATTTTTCAAACTTTTGTTGCCAGAATTTTGCTCCTACGCTCGAGTGTCACTTTTTGCACTCAAACGGTCTTTGTGAACTTTCAGTAGTTTGCAGGTCTGCAAAAGTACTAAGAAGTTGTTGTGAGAACTCGAATATACAAATTAAATAAATAATTAAGTAATAATTATTTTACAATCTCAAATATTTTGCTTTTGAATCTTTAAGTGTAAATTAAATATTATTGGAGGGTTTTTTAGTTAATTTTTAGACTAAAGTAAATTTATGATGAAAGTCTTTAATTTAGAAGCCAGATTTATTATTAAAAAAAATAAGTGACAAATTAGTAAGCATATTTTAATCTAATAATATTTGTATTTTATTTGAATTAATGGATAGAGAAAATAAAATAAAACAAAAGATAATAATTTAGAGCATTTTTGTTTAGATACATAAAGTAACCCTAGGTTGCCTAATACAATATATAGCAGTCGCCAAGCAACAACGTGAGAGTGAGGGAGAAAGAGAGAGCAAGAGATAGAAAAGAGAGAGGGAGAGAAAAGAACTTTCAGCACCTTTGTGGCTCAACAACTCTAAGGTATTGTCTTATTTTATTATTGAGAGGGAGATTAATGATATGGAATTTGTGCCGGACAGATTTGGGCCTGACAGTGTTGTGCCAGACAGATTTGGGCTGAACAGGTGTTGGGCCAAGTTTTGTGGCCCGGCCTTGATGGAAGCTGCTCGGTTAAGGCAGCATGTTGATTGACCGAGCTGCAAGGATCCGTGGTTGCGAAGCCGGTCAGGTGAAAAGTCTGTCGCCAGGAAAGGCATGGTTGGACCGAGGTACCTGTTTGCTCGGCAGGTAGGTCGACCGCAGACAAGTGAGAGTAGTCCCGAGCTCGGCTTTGCCGAGATGCCGCCGAGTTCGGTCCTCATCTGAGCTTAGCTGTTGGAGTACTTGGGCATGAAGCGCAGTATGGCCGAGAATAGAGAAGCTCGGCTGCCGAGCTCCAGCTGAGAAGGCAGGTAATTGAGATTAGGTGATGTTCAGCAAGGTTTATGCTGACAGATGGGATAGCGGAGCCACGTGTCAGGAGATGACTGGGAGTGGATATGGGGCGCAGAAGGTATATAAGCATGTCTGCGCCCCCCATACGGACAGACGAACATTCTGTAAGGAAATTCTTGTACTCAAACACTCCTCTCTCTCTTTCTCTATCCTAAGGTGTGTGCTAACTTGATCGTCGGAGGGTTTTTCCGGCCACACACCGCCGGGCAGCTCATCGTTATTTGCTCGCAGGTGATCAGACAGAAACGGAGCTTGGAAGAAAAGAGTACGGGCTTGCCGAAGTATTTGCTCCCCGTACAATTGGCGCCGTCTGTGGGAAGCTTGACAGACAAAACCTTATCTTCCAGGCTCATCTGATCGCCGTCCATGGCGAACAACGACGAGATTCCGTTGTCTGCCATCGACAGAGTTACCCCAGAGTCAGGCAGACGGAGAGAAGGACATCCAGCCATTCCTCCTATGGCGGACCTGGAGACTTCTCCAGGACGACATTCAAGAGACGCTCGAGATAAGCGCGGAAGAAGCTTTGGTCATTCTCGGAGTCCAAACGGTCACTGGCGGCGGAGAGAATCGCACGCTAGGCGACTGGAACACAAGCTAAGGGACCAAGACGCCGTCATCCAAAGAATGGCGACGAAGATGGAAGCTCTGAAACGACATGTCAATGGGAAGGGTGTACTGGAGTGGGAGACCACAGTAAGCTCACCCAACCACGCCGTTCAGGCAGTCAGAGCCAGTGGCATACTCCCTCCCTTTCTATCGCCAGAAGTTACAGGGTGGGAGGTTCAGACGCGCTTGTAAAGAAGTCTAGCGTGCAAGATAATACCTACCATCCTTTGCGTCCAGCGACGACGTCGAGATATTCCTACTCCGTTCGTTCAGGTGACTTACGGGTTGTCTTGAGGGATCGAGCTCGCCGACGGGAGACTAAAAGGGTGCCGGCGCTCCAACGGCTATCTTATGGGGTTTTAAGGAAGGTCATGGGCAACACACTGGTGCCGGGGGAAGGCAAGCTAGGGGCAAACTGGGAAGGACCCTACAATATAATCGGTTTGGCGAGCGAAGGAACATACCACTTGGAGGACTTTGAGGGAAGAGAAACACCCCGGCCATGAAGTGAATTACTTTTGCTGAAGAACTTTTCTATTTAGGACGAGATGATTTACTCCGGCCAAATGAGTTGATGATTTGCTCAACTCTGAAGATTCAGCCGAGATGATGTACTCCGGCCAAATAAGTTGATTATTTGCTCAATTCCGAAGATTCAGCTGAGATGATTTACTCCAGCCAAATGAGTTGATGATTTGCTCAACTCTGAAGATTCAACCGAGATGATGTACTCCAGCCAAATGAGTTGATGATTTGCTCAACTCTGAAGTTTCAGCCGAGATGATTTACTCCGGCCAAATGAGTTGATGATTTGCTCAACTCTGAAGTTTTAGCCGAGATGATGTACTCTAGCCAAATGAGTTGATGATTTGCTCAACTCTGAAGTTTTAGCCGAGATGATGTACTCTGGCCAAATGAGTTGATGATTTGCTCAACTATGAAGTTTTAGCCGAGATGATTTACTCCGGCCAAATGAGTTGATGATTTGCTCAACTCGGAAGATTCAGCCGAGATGATGTACTCCGGCCAAATGAGTTGATGATTTGCTCAACTCCAAAGTTTCAGCCGAGATGATTTACTACGGCCAAATAAGTTGATGATTTGCTCAACTCTGAAGATTCAGCCGAGATGATGTACTCCGGCCAAATGAGTTGATGATTTGCTCAACTCTGAAGTTTCAGCCGAGATGATTTACTCCGGAAAAATGAGTTGATGATTTGCTCAACTCTGAAG